GAACTATTACTTTACAAATAATGATCAATCTAAGTGCTTGGTAAAAGTTCTGAAATTCTCACTGGTGACTGGAAAACCAGGTTGTGTGAATGCCTTATTGTTTATATTAACCAAAGCTGATATTCCTGGACTAGAAACCTTCCCATCTTTATCAAATAGACATGGAAAATGTAAATGTGTGGAAACAACCCTGGATTTTCATGTACATTTTTAGCTTTGCATAGGCATCCTGTTTCAAAAGTAAAATTTTCAATAAACTGAAAGCACCAGTAGGTTCTTAAAATGGAAACAGAAAAGAGAAGTTGGTTTAAAATTAATAAGTATGGAACCAGCAGAATAATGCTGCTTAAACTGAGCAGGAAATTAATAATTTAACATTAGGAAAAGTTTAGTACTAAAGCAAATGATATTTTCTGAGCCTTTTAGTCATGTAACTTTTTTAGTGAATTTGTTACCTGTCTTCTGAAATGGTACTTCTATTGTAACTTTGATTTTTTTGGTGGAGTTGAGTTCCTCAACATTAGTGAAACCGCTCAAAATGAATACATGTAAAATCATATAAACAGACAAGAAAAAATATGTTTGAACTGAAAAAAAAAAAGTGTCTTACATAGCAAATAGGGCTAAAACACACATGTAAGAAACCATACAGTAACTAAAATGTACTGCATCAGTAGAGACCCTCTACTTATTAAAAAGATGAGCAAAATATTGTGTTCAAAAACATTTTCCTTTCCCTCACACTTTTAATGAAGAAACAGTTATAAAGGTTAATAGTCCAAGGGAAAAAAAATCCTATGTAATATGAGGATACCTGATTCAATGGGATTTAGGAGCCTCTTAGCAAATCATTGGGTATGAGATGGCTATAGCTGCCAAATCTAAAGGGTCAGAGAAATCAGTATTTTATGCTTAATTTATTTTTTATTGATTTATAAGTTGCCGTTCACCAAAGCTATTAGGTGCTTACTTGCATCGAGCAGCCAGCAATGGGTACTAATAATGAATCACTGCTGCCATCTCCTGAAATGTTAACATATACACTGGCACCAAGTCAGAAAGTTGGAAAAAAAAATTCAGACAAAGGTTAAACAAGTTTCTAATAACATATCCTAACACTGAACACACTTGGATTCTGTTCGATCACCAACAATGAGGGAATCATAGAATCATAGAATATCAGGGTTGGAAGGGACTTCAGGAGGTCATCTAGTCCAACCCCCTGCTCAAAGCAGGACCAATTCCCAACTAAATCATCCCAGCCAGGGCTTTGTCAAGCCTGACCTTAAAAACCTCTAAGGAAGGAGACTCCGCCACCT